GTAAACTTCCCCACACTTAAAATGAGGCAATGTCCTCATTGCTTCAACACAAAACCAGAAAGTCAAATAATAGGACCAAGCAATTTCACATAATGAACCAACCTAAGCAGCTAACACAAGCAAACTCAGAAGAAAGGACAAAAGGAAGAAGCAACACAAAAAGATAAAAAGAGAAAAGAGCACGCAAACCGAAAATGCTTCGAGTGTAGTAAGCATTCCCATGCAGGCCTTTCGCCCATGCTTAATCCAAAACCTCGACACGTCCTGCCAAGAAAAACACAAAACTCCAAAACTCCTATTATTCAAAGATAAAACTAAAAAAGCAAAAAGAAAATAACTAAGAAAACGATAAATCACTTGGATTGCCTCCCAAGAAGCGCTTGTTTAACGTCATTAGTTTGACGAAACCTGGGTACAAATCAGCCAGGATCCAGAAAGAAGTGGCGATCGTGCCATGTCTTTGTATTTTCCAGAAGTGGTAGCATGGGAAGATTTGCAAGAAGGCTGGCACGGTGGATCCGGGTGGCTATGTTCTTGGTGAACCGGGTTCGGGCACGAGAAATCCCCAATTCTAGACGCAGAGCTTTTCCCACGCGAGCTCTGTCGTTAACCTCCGGGACTATAAGGATATCTGTGGAGCAAGTCGAACTGAATGCTCCCCACTTCGTAACACAGTGCAACGGCCTCGAAGAAGGATGCTCCAACTCGGATGTGTGGGAAGGAACTTGAGAATCAAGCATGTGGATCTCCTCATCTGAAATAATATCAACGTCTCGCTGGAGCTCAACATCTTCTTCTTCAGCCTCACACATTTGCTTCATCATACGAGCTAAAGTATCAAGCATAAAGTGGGGGTTGGTAACTTGTGCCTTGATTGAGTCGATATGTGCTGTAAGAATCTCCATTTGTGTGCTCAGTCGAGCACACCCGAGCTCAATCTCCACCTCTCGAGTGTTCTGGGCAGATATGCGAGCAAGGATGAGGTCAAGCTTTTCATCGTACGTCAAAGTAGCCTCCCGAGGTTCATCTCTATGTATAGATTCGCCTTGACCGGTGGGCTCGGGAGTGACATTGTTAACTCGATCCTCTAAGGCTTGCATGCGCTCCACAAGGTTCTCGATTCTGGACTCAATATCGCTCCTACGGGCCGCTTGGGAGGCTAAAAGAGCGAGGGCCTGGTCGAGCTTGGCATTGTACTCTGAGGAATCCTCGAGGGACTCACATGACTGCTCAACAGTTACTGGCTCCCACTGCTGCTCGTAAGGATATGACAAAGTCTGGCCATAGTCCCAAGAATCGTGGTATGGAGGTGATTGATGCAGACGGGCACACCAGGAAGCGGTCTCTTCTTCTTGAGCTAACTGGGATGTCGCAAATTCATAGATAAGGTCAAGCTTCTCGTTGAACTCGTGGGACTCATAATGTTGCTCGACCAGGAAGGGGTTCCAGTACTGCTCGGAAGGGTATGTATATGACTGGTTGTGGTACCCGGCGTGATAGCTCGGCTCATTGACCCAAGGTTGGGTGTGCGGTAAGGGGAAAGCGCGGTTGAAGTTCATATCTCCTGCACACCAAAACAAAAAAACTACACGTAGCCACGAAAAAAGGGAAAGAGAAAACAAAGATGCACAAAAGAAAGAACGCAAACACGATAATTACAAACTAAAGAGAAACACGAAAAATAAAATCAATACCAAAACCAAATGTCCTACTTGCCTTCCCCGGCAACGGCGCCAAATTTGTTGTAGCAAATTATTTTATTTTTTTACCGACTACCGAATCAAAAGATTCGTTCCCCGGGTCGATCTCTCGAGGAGGACGGTTCAGAATTTAGCGTTGGTCTTGATCACACACGAAAAGAAAATAAGTCCTAAACACTCTAATCACGATTGATTTGGGAAATCAACTAAAACAACCTAGAACTAGAAAAACAATTTAAAGAAATAACAATTAAATATCTAGAGAAAAAGAAATTCTAGGGGTCGGGAAATCTCATCAAGTCTTAAACTATGTTGAACGCTTATTTGTTCGGTTACGAGATTTAACAAGCCTACACGTCTAGAGGGTTATGCTCAATAACTCTTCATAACAAGAGCACAAACATAAACGATAAACTCATTCAAACAAGCAACACATAGACAATACTTTTACGAACATGTCTACTCTATACGAGCCTAAATCGACCGACGTCTCCCCTCTCGGTTCTAAACGTCGATCAACTAGGTTAGAATGGTGATCAATCAACTAACCATATAATTCACACAATTCGTATAGATTGAACAAAACACATTCCTCATAATTCGAAACAAGAATCAAAATCCCTAATCCTAGGTGAATGGATTACCTCATGCTTAGATTCAATTTCATGTTAACCGAAATTAAGAACATAAAACCAATCAAAAATAATAAAATAGAATTGAAAAACTTACAATCGGATTAAGAGTTGCAAGATTTCAATCCAAATATCTTTGTGTCCAACAATCCAAGCATGAGAGAAAAAAAAAAAAGAAAAGTGGAGAAATTTATCCTAACAATATTGAGTTTTTGGAGAGAAAAATTGAAAGGAACGATATTGGGGATTGTTCCTTAGGTCTGAGGGGTCGTTTTTTTATATATAGAGCTCGAAAAATGGAGCTAAAACGAGTAAAAAAGGAGAAAAATAAAAACAGGGTCGAACAGGTCGCGACTCGCGAGTCGCAAGTCTGACGGGTCGTGGGGTCGCGCAGCTGGTCGGAGGCTCTGTTAAAGTCGCGAGTCGCGACATTGCTCTCGCGAGTCGCGACGTAGGCTCGTGAGTCGTGACTTTTCTCTCGCGAGTCGCGACTTTGGACTGCACTGCGCCATTTTACGTTTCGGGCTCGTTTGGGCTCGTCCGAACTCGGAATTGAGTTCCGTTTTTTGCTACGTGTCGCTAACGAACCCATCTATCCAATTGTGCTCTGGAAACCAACTTTTTCTGAAGAGAAAATTCTCCCGAAGCTTCCGACCTACACACCAAAAACGACAAAACACGAAGAAAATCGGGAAAACAAAAGAAAAACACCTAAAGACTCAAAATGAAGGAAAACACATAATAAAATACGAAACGGACTAAAAACTAAAGAACCGACATGAAGAAAAACATATAATAAAACACGAAACGGACTAAAAACTAAAGAAACGACCTAAAACGGGAGAAAAAGAAGGATAAAATAAATACGAAAAATGCAACAAAAATAGGACAAACATGAGGCTTTGTGTTTGAGTTGCTATGATGCGAAAATGAGACCGAGCATGAATTGTCCCGTCTTGCTTTGTTTGAGTTTACAAGCATGAATTGTCCCGACTGATACGAGTCACGCAGCTTGTGATTATCAGACATGCCCAACAGGTATATTTCCTCATTTCTTTAATACGCTGTGACTTATTTTTTTTCTTCTCATTTTTTGCCGATCAATGCAATAATCCTGGGAAAATTTTAGCCTCGAGGCAATTTTGTGAATCGTATAATAGGTTTCTTTATAACATCTTATTGTAAATATGTGAAGAAACAATACAATTTTAATGTGCACTACATTTTTGCAATTTGTCAAGTGGAATCTGTAAATCAAGTTTCTTTCTTTCTTTCCTCCCACTGCAGATGATGGAAAATGAACCATATTTTTTCCTTTCCTATTTTCCTATATAATTGAACTTAGCATTTGTTCTTTAATCTCACTTTCAGTATGGTAGAGTATGGTACCACAAATGACATTGCTTCATTTTGTTGCAGCTTCTAATTTTTTTCTTTAGATATTACAAAAAGATAAATTAATGGACATTAGTTTAAAGATGAACATCATCTTGACCTAGGATTCTAATAGCAATCAGAAAATATCAGTCACTACACATGCACATAGTACATGAGGAAACACACAAAAAAGTGAAAAACCCCATATCTTTTTCCTTTTGCCTTCATTCATGATTCCTAAGGGCCCCTACAGAAGTCCCTCACTTGAAAGTTGAATCCATATCGGCCCATCTTGTCAATATCCTTTCTTACTGTCGACGTTAACCACTTAACTTCTTTTGCTTAGTCGTTTATGAAAGCTTAAGGTTATGTTTAGTAAACCTAGTTGATAAGCTAGCTTATAGTTTTTAAGTGAATTTCGAGATAGTTTATGACTTATGGCTGAAAACCTAGTTTATATGATAAAACTGTTTGGTAAAATTAAGTAATAAGTTAGTTGAAATAAAAATATCTATAGGCTTATTTGAAAAGCTACACAAGGAAGCTTAGCTCGAGCTTTTTAAAAAAACTCGTCATACCAAACCAAACTTATTTGAATACAGGAAACTTATAAACTAATCTAATAAGCTATAAACTAACTTATATGCATACCAAACATAATCTAAGAAGGCGATTGGATAACAATTATCTAGTCACTTTTGATCAGACCATGTATGGTTGTGGGCTCGTAGGATAGAGGTATTCATGTACCTATCGGAACTGGCTTTTGGCCTTCATAGCCTTCTTCGTGAAATTGGATCCATAATTAAATATTGCCGACATTAGGGTCTGAGTCGTCAGATCACATGAACACGCATATTATTGTTCTCTC